AACGAGCTGTCTTGGGAGTCGGTGAGTTTTTTTAATCTTCAAGCTAAATGACTGTTAGCTACGTCGGGCAGGGGATTCTTTTCAGTTATGGGTTGAACTAGATGACCACTGAACAACTCTGAAATCCTATGATTCAAACTAAGATGGTGCCACAAATACAATGAACACTAACAAAAGTTTAATGAATACCCTAGTGGTCTCCCTCACAGCACATAGTATTAAATAATGGGCACATAGTAGGTATTCAATAAATATTTGTTGAGTTAATGCAAACACCCACAGTTGAGGGATGCTAAGTATATGGTCTGTATTGCCTTCCAGAAGCTTCAAAGAGAAGGAAGGGCTCTGAGGCAGTTAGGTGGAATGGTGGGTAGGGTGCTAGAAGACCTGAGTTCAAATCTAGTTTCAGACATTACTAGTTGTGTGACCCTGGGCAAATCACTTAACTTCTGTTTCCTTCTGTTTCCCCATTTCTATGAATAATAATAGCATCACTTCTTATCGTGAGGATAAGATGAGAGAATATGTGTATTTTGGAAACCTTATAGTGGTATATAAACAGTAGCTATTACCATCATTATTATATTGCTGCTTTTTTTTTTTGCCTGGACCTATGATTCCATTAGTGGAGAAATTGCCTCAGCTAAACTGCTCTGTATCTTATAGTCTTAGTGGCTGAGGAGTTAAATATCTTGTCCAGGGTCCCTTTAATTAGCTAGGACTTGAGCTCAGGTCTTCATGACTCCAAGGCCTACTGTCTAGCTATTATGCCAGACCCCCTTCTATGTGCATCCTGGGCCATCGCCAGTCATCTTGACTTTTGTCCTGCCACTGGACTTCCATGACTCTGGAAGAGAGAATGAGGCTGATGAGTTTGCACAGCACTGCCTCACTTAAATCTAATTCATGTGCAAGTCAAGACATCACCAGTGATGTCCCTGGCTTCTCTTGAAAAATGAACAAGAACAATTTCCTGCCTCTGCAAACAGGGGAACATGGAGATTGGTGACCCAGGTCAGGCAAGCCTTTACTACCAGCTTGAAGGGCCCCACACCTTTTAGATCCCTCGGGCCCTCGTTTAGCCTCAATCAATCCTGCTACAGGTTTGTCATATAATTTAGAAACCAGCTGAAAACAAAAGCTACTGGATGGAGCTCAGCAGAGGGTGAAAAGCTGTCCTGAGATTCCCAGGGCTTTGGCAGCTCATTAGAAAAAGTTCTTCATAAACAGTAATAATATCTACTGCAAGAGGGTTAGATAAAAATACAGGAACTGCTCCCCATCGAGAGCAAAACATCATCCCTATCATTGCCTATAGACAGTCACATGAAAATTTCATGTCTTTAACCAATTCAAAACATGAACCAATGAAGTTGCTATGTTGATGAAGCCCATGGGATTTTAAATACCAGGGTTTTACTTTGGGGTGCTCATCTCTCTTTAAGGAACAGGCACAGAATGCGTGGCTGATTGGGTCCACTCTGGATAATACTATTTTTTTTTTTAGGTCAGACCTGTAATTTCATCAGGGAGCACCTGATAAGGAATTTCTCTACCAATACATGTCCACACAGTCTCTGTGTGACCTTGGGCAAGTAATTTAACCTCTCAGTGGCTTAGGCCACTTATATTCTACCACTATAAGTTGCAAAGCAAGAGTCAATCTGTTTTGGTTTCTTCTCCTGACTCTCTGTATTTCCCCACAATGCCTTAGTTGCTGTCTTACCCAGGGATGTTTCCTCAGTGCCTTCAGTGAGGTCTCTCTACCCTTCGGACGCCCTTCTCCCATTGGTGAATTCCTCCTGGAATCTCCGTTTAGAGGAGGGGCCTAGGCTAGCCATTTTTTATTCTTTTTCTGGCTCTGCTTCTGGCTTTCTGAACTTTACCACTATACCCCCCTTAAACCTTACCCCTCATCACTTTTCAGTACTTTTTTACGTATTGCAATGGTTTTCAAACTTTTTGGTCTCAAGATCAAAATTCTTTTTTTTTTCTTAAAATTTTTTTTCTTTTTTTCATTATGAGTCTTTTGGAGTTGACATCAAAATTTTTAAAAATTATTGAGGACCCTTCAAAGAGCTTTTTAAGGGGGGTTGTATCTACTAACATTTACAATATTAGAAATTAGAACTTAGTATTATTGTTATAAAAATAGTTTTGATATTGTAGACTCCCCAAAATGGATTTAGGGACCCCTTGGACCAGATTTTGAGAATGTTGATGTATTGTCTTCCCCCATGAGAATATAAACTCCTTGAGGGCAGGGACCGTCCTTCTTTTTGCTTGTTATTTGTATGGTTAGTATTTAACCTGTAATGTATTAAGAGCTTAAGATATGATTGTTGACTGATCTTGTTAAGGTACTGGACATCAAGATCCTCTCTCAATCTGAACTGCCAAACATTTAAACTACTGTAGAGAGCCCAACTCTGATGGACTGACCACGTAGCCTGTACACATATTTGCCTAAGAGACTGCTTTATGGAGAACTTGCACAGAGCAGTGCTCACATGGAAGTCAGAAGTAGAACAAGGACACTCTCAAGACCTCTCTGAAGAAGGGGCAGCTAGGTGGCGCAATGGATAGAGCGCCAGCCCTGAAGTCAGGAGGGCCTGACTTCAAATGCGGCCTTAGACCAAACACTTGACACTTACTAGCTATATGACCCTGGGCAAGTCACTTAACCCCAATTGCCTAAAAAAAAAAAAAGATCTCTCTGAAGAATATTAATACTGGGAGACACTGGCAAAGCTGCGCTCCACAAGCAAAGCAGAATTGCCGCAGCACAAGGGAAATGTGAGCTGTGCAAATCTAGAGACATCTCTACCCCAAATGTTCAAGAGGACCATTTGTGCCCGACTCGTGACAGAGCCTGTTGACACACTCTACCTTGACCCTGGCATCCTGACATCATCGGTCCTCTTCGAGTATGAAGGATAGACAACAACAATTTTCTATCTGGGACTTAAAATAGTTTTATTGCTGTTTTTAAAAAATCTTATTTTTTAATGTAGTCATAATCTAAGGCTCTATTCTTCTTGTAGGATTGTGGATTATAGATTTAGGGTTAGAGGGGATTATTTTATAATCATTTTACAGAAGGTGAAATGAGGTCAAAGAGGCATGTCTTTGTTTAAGGTCACAAAGGGAAGAAATGATAGAGGCCTCGTTCAAACCAAGGTCCTCTGGCTTCAAACCCAGCACTCTTCCCTTACACCGGATGATCCGGACACTGAAGTAATTGTCTGCTCCGAGAATCCTTGTCCTTTTCAACTAGCCTCCCTATCCCCCAGATGGGTCAGGTTCTCACCAGATCCATTGCTCAAACCTGTCCAATTCTGTAACATTCTCTTTTTAGAGTCTCCAGAAGCAGAAGCTACAGTGACCAAACATTCCAAAACATGCATCAGTACACTGGGCATGGAAAGCAGGACATGTGCGACCTGAGTCCTTTTAGTGCTTCTGACCTTCATGGGTGAACTGGCAATACTGTGATAAAAAGAAACTTCTTTTCATTTTTGCCAAAATAGCTACCAGTCAAAAGACTGGAAATGCCATTAGAAACAGAAATGGTTTTCTGGAAGACAGAGAAAGGTTCTCTTCCAGACCTCCCATAGTGATAATGGAGCTCTGTATTTATAGCTTTGCTAACCACCCAGCTCAGACAACAATCAATGAATGAGGTCAGCTGAGGGTCACCATGGACTGGTTTTGCTGTGAACAGTGCTAATTCTCATAGACACTTAGCCCAGGCCAAGTCCCAGGGAAATAAGAGGCTGAGGAACCAGGGCAATATACTAATTGGAAGGTTTTCTTAGGGGGCCTCTGCATCCCATACAAAGCCTTTTGTTTATCTCTGGCCTGGCCTGATTATCTATACTTATCCCACGCCCCTCTCCCTTTCCAAGCCCAGGACTTTGGAATGCTTCTTTTGGCTTTTACCATTTTAATGCTACTCTAGCTCAGGGTAATTTTAATAATTTCTGTTTTTCAGGGTTTATATTGTGCCTGATGGGAGAGAATAGATAGAAAATGCACTGGACTTGAGTCAATCTACTGACAAGCACCTATTATGTTCTTTCTCTAGGATGAAGATGAGTTCATAAAATAAAAATTTGGCTAAATTATAGAATCCCCATTGTCATCCCTGTAGCCATTACATATTATTATTCTGGTCTGCTTTTTTCACTCTATACCAAATTGCACAGCTCTACTGATGTTTCCCTGAATGTCTTATATTCATAATTTCTTCATTAAATTCATATACTACAATTTATTTAGACCTTTTCTAATAGATGGGCATCTACTTTATTTCTCAGTCTTTGCTAATCACACAAAAAAGTTGCCATTAATATTTTCATATATATTGGATTTTTTTTCCCTTTTAGTCATTTACCTCTTTGGGATATATACTGAGAAGTGAGATCTCTGGGTCAAAAGGTATGAACAGTTTAGTTACTTTTTTTTTAATGTTAACTATACATTGCTTTCCCAAATGGCTATACTAATTCACAGTTCTACTAACAGTGTATATCTTTCTACAGCCCCCTTAACACTGACTCTTTCCAATTCAAAACTGTTTTGATTTGAATTTCTTTTACTTTTAGAGTGATTTAGAGCAGAGGTATCAAATTCAAATAGAAAAGGACCACACATAAACTTAGAAAACCACAAATCGACATTATCTGTGTTGTATTATATTTTTATTTTGTTAAACATTTCCCATAATATTTTAATCTGGTTTGGGCACTACGTGGGAGTTTTGCTGGCCCTGGTGGTCTGTAGTCGGAGCATTTGATCCCTCTGATTTAGAGCATGTTTCTTTCACTAGGTTGTTGATAATTTGGAGTTTTTTTGAAAACTATTTGTTCATATCCTTTAACCCCTGATCTATTGGGGAATTGTTCTTGGTCTTATGCATTCGTGTAAATTCCCTTTAGGAAAAAAATTAAGAAAGAAGGGAGGAAGAGAGAAGGAAGGAAGGAAGGAAGGAAGAAAGGATTTAAGACACCCCCACCCCATCCCAAAGAAGCTAATGGGGGAAGACCATAGACAAAAGGGAGTTGAAAAGCAAGGAGGGATTGGTAAGTGGGAGATGAGGGTATCAATGAGAAAGCTGGTTTTGAAGTCTGGGAAATCAGGAGCAGAGCTAGGAAGGGAATGAAGACTAGCTAGCTTGAGCCACCGCATAAAATGGAAGGCTCCAAGAAGAACTCACCACTCCAAGAGGAGGAATAAGCCTGGCAGAGGGATATTCCAGGGCTTGAAGGCTACAGAAGTGGTTGGATGTTCCAGGGTAAGGAGGCCCCAAATTCTGAGGGAAATTTCAATGTGAGATAGCTACTAATGCATAGTTTTGAAGTCCAGAATGTCAGGAGCAGAGCCAGGAAGGGGATATAGGAACATAGATAAAACACATATATGTATTATACATATATTTCATATGAACACACACGAAAAGTATGTGCACACACAAAATACATATTTATACATATTGATGTATACATAAAACTGTATTTTGGAATCTGACTTTTATCAGTGGTTTTTTTCTACTCAACAGTTTCTTTTATTCTGAGTTAATTTTGTTCATGTAAAAGCTTTTAAATTTTATGTAATTGAATCGGTCTATTTCATGCAAAGTTATTTTCAAGATCAGACAAACCACTAAAGGCTTTAGAACATTTTTATAGATTTTTCTGTTTCTGTATCACATTCATTTCAAAATGTATCCCTCCTTCTCCTGCCCAGAGAGCCATCCTATATTACAAACAAAAGGAACAAGAAGAGGTCAGCAAAACTAACCAGTGCATCGACCATATGTCACATTATATGCAATTTTCCCTACCTGTGGTCCTCACCTGTGCAAAGAATGGGGGAAGATGAATTTTTTTTCATCTCTTTTTTTCGGGAATGAATGTGGTCATCATCATTACACAGCAAAACCCGAAAACTCCTGAAACCGTAAGCCAAAAGCAATTCATTCCATTAGTCACACAGCCTCAGCTCAGTGGTGATGTGATTACTCTCTGCTCTCCCTTCTTTCTCTCAGTGTTCATTGTTTATGAACAACAACCTAAGTAGGAGAGAGAGCAGGTAGACTTTGGGTCCAACGAATACTAATATAGACTTCTCAGTGAAGAAGCAATGTTTTAGTACAAAATTCAATTCCATCCCTTGAGCAGCTGGTTCTGGAAACTCATCAGGGAGCAGTAGGTTTAAAGGAACAAAGGTGAAAGGGGGATGGGGCTGGCAGCTAACAAAATTAGGGGGAAATGGTTAGGCTTTTCTCTAATTAATGTCCCAACTGGTTTAACAGAAAGATGTGGAGCTGCACAGGAAAATAGGGACTAGGAATGAATCCAGCTAAAATATAATTATCAGATGAGGAGAAGGAAAATAAAGTATGTTGTTTTAGCTAAGTCACAGAGTCAGAATCTCATCTCTGGAATGAGTCCTGGATTTAAAAAAAAAGAAAAAAGATAATCAAAAGAGCAAAACAAATTGTGCATTTAAAAAAAACACATCCATTTCACATTTGTGTCTCCAGACTTGTGTAATTTTACAAAGATAAAACTAGGCATAAAAAAAGTAAGCCTAGGCTTTAGTGTAATAAGGTTGTTGTATATTTGAGGATATATAAACCAAATGAAATTCAGGTGATTTACCAATGTGGGATGGGAAATCTGATCAATAATTCAACTCAAAGGTAGAAAGTTGACTCTGCATTTGATTCTAAGCAATGATAAACAAACTCTATTTTTGGGGAGAGGACAAATACTATGTTTAAGCTTCACAATTTGCAAGGGCTCTGATGATCAGGAAAGCCTAGAAAGCCTGCTATTTCTTATTATTTCCTTTCTAAAGGTTGAATTCAATTAAAAAAATTGTTATTATTATTATTTTTTAATTGGGTCTCCCTATCCCTCCAGGCTAGAAGCGTAGTAGCCACTTACTGGCCTGATCCCATCACCCACTGCTATAGAAGCGGTGATCTGCTGTATTTCTAACAGCATGGTGGCCCTCTGCTCCTAGGGGCTCACCATATTTTTGCTGGACTTACACGGCAACCCTGATCACTCGTAGCCCTACTAAAGCTCATAATGCCCAAACTGAAGTGATCCACTACCCTCAGGCTCCTCAGCAACAGATACTACAGGTGTCCACTGCCACTTTATTTCATTTTTTTTCAATGAACAAACATTTATTCTCTCTCCTTTACTCCTCCCCTTCCCTTTACTCTAAAAGGCAAAAACGAAAAATGAAACTTTTGAAACTGATACGACTAGTCAAGTGAAGCAAACTGAGACACTGGCCGAGTTAAAAAAATGAAGGAATCGCTGAGTCCCCCACCTCTCTGTCAGGAGGTGAATAATGCATGTTCTTCATCATCAGGACTCTGGAATCATGGTGGGCCATTGGCATGGTCAGAGTTGTTACATCTTTCATAGTTGTTTATTTTTTTGGTGTTGTCATTGTCTAAATTGCTCTTCCAGTTCTGCTCACCTCATTTTGTATCAGTTCACACAAGTCTTCCCAGATTTCTTGGAAAGTCAACAAGTCAAGTTAGCAAGCATTTATTGAGTGTTTACTACATGCAGGTACTGGGTAATGCTCCAGAGATACAAAGAAAAATAAAAACAGTCCCTGCCCTCAGGGACCTTACATTCTAATATGCCAACAATGATATATGTATATGTATATGTGTATATCTATCTATATATATATATCTATATCTATGTAGATATAGATATATATACACACATACACACACACACACAATATATGCAGTGTGGCATTAGCAGGCCATTGGGGAGAGGCCTCTCCAAGAGTGTGGTATTTGGGTTGAGTCCAGAAAGAAGGTGGGGAAGCCAGGAGACAGAGGTGGAGCAGGCATGGGGGGGACAGACAATGAAAAGGCACAGTTGGGAGATGGAGTGTCCTGTGTGAAAAACATTAAAAAGGCCAGGGTTACTGAATTGTAGAAGACTTGGAAAGTATGATAGTGTAAGAAGACTGGAAAGGTAGGAAGGGACCAGGTTGGGAAGGGCTTTAAATGTCTGAGCGTTTTGTCTGATTCTGGTGGTAATTAAAAGCCACAGGAATCAATCAAGTAAGGAGGGGTGTGTGAGACATGGAAAGACTACATTTTAGAGAAATCGAATGGATTAGGATGGAGACATCTGAGGCAGGGACAGTCTAGGTGTGAGGTGGTTTTAGGGCCTTGTACCAGCATTGGGCAGCTAGGTGGCACAGTGGACCTGGAGTCAGGACGACTCATCTTTGTGAATTCAAATCTGGCCTCAGGCACTTACTAGCTGTGTGACCCTGGGCCAGTCATTTAATTCTGTTTGCCTTAGTTTCCACATCTGTAAAATGGGTTGGGGAAGGATATGGCAAACTACTCCAGTATCTTTGCCAAGAAAACCCCAAACGGAGTCACAGAGAGTCGGACGTAACTGAAACGACTGACCAGCAACACCGACACCACCAGTAGGGCAGTTGTGTGAATGAAAACAAGGGGACTCACACAAGAGATATAAGAAGATAGACATTAGATTGGACAACAGATGAGTGATAGTGAAGAGTCAAAGTGGACACTGACATTTGGAGCCTAGGTGGGTGGGAGGAGGATGGAACTCTAGACAGTAAGAGGAATCTTGGGAAGAGAGAAGGGGGTAACATAATGAGTCAGGAGACGTAGTGTAGTGTTGGAGGAAAAGCAAGGAAACAAATATTTCTGGATCACAGAGTACATAGAGGGGAGTCAAAGATAAGAAGTCTGGAAAGGTAGGAAGGCATCAGGTTGTGATGGGCTTTCAAAGCCAAACAGAAGACTTTATATTGGGTCATACCATTCCTTTCATATTTTCCTTCAGCACAAGAGGATTCGATTACATTCACATTCCATATGGCCATTCTGCAATGGATGGACCTCATATCTTTCCATTTTGAAGTCAGACATGGGATCCTCCAAGTCAAGGAAGTTGGTTGCAAGGGTGGGCTCCTGGGGCACTACTTCTAATTTTCCCTATTACCTGAGAGAGAATGGCACAGTCTTAGAGGGCTGGACTTGGAGACAGGAAGAACTGAGTAAGAATCCTGCTTAGACTTTGCAGTGGGGTTTAACTAACTTTCAGCCTAGGTTGACTTCATCTTGGTTTTAAGTGATTGTGGGACTGCTGTAATTTGCTGAGTAAGTACAATGTATGACAATGTTTATCCACAGAAATATCCCATACCCTTTATCCTGTTTCAAGATATGTGTTATTAGCTGCCATTAGCTCTCTATACCATATATCACTTATATTCTCTTGAATCTCTGTGGTTAGTTTATTTTCAACTACTATGCATCCCATGTACCTGTTAATGTAGCCAATCATAAAAGAAGACTGACGAGCACTTCCTCCCTCCCCCCTTCTGTAAATCTTATAGTAGTCTAATTAACTTGTACATAAGACACAAATTCCTTTACTGTATGTTAAAATTGATTGACAAGCGACTGTGTTGCATAGTTTTCGTTTTTGTTTTTTTAGCTGCTACAATGTTTACTAGCTGTGTGACCCTGGACAAGTCACTTACCCAAACTCTCTCGGCCTCAGTTTCCTCATCTGTAAAATGAGGGAGTTGGATTCAGTGGCCCCTAAAGTCCCTTTCAGCTCTAAATCTATGATTCTATGACTTTATGACCCTCTCCTACCTGTTCTATTTTTCCTGGCTTCTCTAGCACCATACACTGACCACCCCAACCCAAAGGTGAAGTCTCCCTCCTCTTAGAGGTGCTTGACTGTTACATTCCTCATTTGGATCTTGCCCTATAACATTTATTGACCCTTTCCTCCATATAATTATCGAGAGTTTAAATTCCAAGAAGGCATAGACCATTCTGTGGATGGTTACATCCACGGTTCCTAGAAAAGTAGCTAGCACGTTGTTTTGTTGCTGTTCGGTGGAGTCTGACTCTCCATGACCCCATTTGCACATTGCAGACACTCAGTAAATAAAAGCTATTAGGTAGGGGATGAAGGGCAGTATCAGTTTCCATTTACAAGGCTAAGAGACAGGAGAGATAGAGGCCAGGGGTCCAGAGTCTATCTAATAAGCTACAAGTGGGCAGTGAGAGATGGCCAAATCAGTCTCTGGTTGGAAGTCCCCATGGGGGTTTTTTACTTCTCTGTTAGACAGAAAACCCTTCTATACAAATACTCACAGTTAGTTCCCTATTCCCTAAAACTGTGGCTAAAAATGTGCTCTGCTCTTGGATCCCCTCCCTCCTTATCCTATTTCTACTCATTCTTTGTGAAATCCTAGCCCTGGATTACTCCCACCACTAGGTATACTACAAATGTATGCTGTCCAACTTCGTTAGGCACTCACTATAAATCAATCCTTTTATTCCTTTCCAATTCCTTTCCTAGCCTACTCCCCATAGAATCTATATCCTTTTCTTCTCAAGCCACCCATACCTCCCCCTATCCTTACCCTTTCTGCTGAGGACCTCCCCTCTTTACTGAAAAAATGGAGGTCATTCTCTGTGAGCTTGCTCTTCTTCCTTTTTATTCATCCCCAAACCCCTTGACATCATCCCCCATTCTCTCCTACTTTCCTCCAGCCTCTGATAATGAGGTGGCACATCTCCTTGACAAGACTAACCCTCTTTATATGTGCCCTTGACTCTGTCCCCTTGAGTCTTTTTCAGAAGATTACTCCCTCAAACATCCCCTCCCCCTTTCTCATCTTCAGCCTTCTCTGTCTCCTCATTGGCGGCCATCTCCAGTCATTCTAATGAATATCTGGCCATTGGACCCAGATAGCTCTGGAGGAGAAAGTGAGGCTGGTGACTTTGCACAGCCCTCCCTCATTCAAATCAAAGTGAATAGCAAGTCATATCATCAACTCCGATGTCATGGTCCTCTTCAAGAATGAAGGACTAACACAGTCTCCTCATTGAAAGCAGTAGCCTCCCAACATGTTCAAACCTTCATCACCCTTACAAAATCTTCACTAGACTCTATCAGCCCCTCAAGCAATTGTCCTACATCTCAGCTCCCTTTCTTAGTCAGACTCCTTGAAAAAGCTATTTCCTTTCCTTCTCTTACTCATTCTTCAACTCTTTGCAAACTGGTTTCTGATTTCATCATTCCACCAAAGTTGCTCCCTCCAAAGTTTCCAATGGTCTCCTAATTGCTAAATCCAGTGACCTTTTCCTAAGGCTCCTTCTTATCAAACTCTCCCTTGGTCTTCAGTCTGACATGGCTACATGCCTATGGACATTTCAAACTGGATGATGTCCTGGAGACAGCTCAAAATCAACATGTTCAAAACCAAATTTCCCTATTTCTATTAAGGGTACCACCATTCTAATGGTTCTCCATGCTTGGAACCTTGGTGTAATCCTCAAATCCTCACTCCTCCTCACCCCACATAGCAAAATAAGTTGCTAAATCTTGCCATTTCTATCTTCACAACATTTCTTGCATTTGACCTCTTCTCTCTACCCACATAGCCACCACCCTCATCACTCCTTGCCTGGACTATTGCAATGACCTCCTAATTTTTCTCCATCCTATGTCTCTCCCTACACCAATTGATTTTTCACATGCTAGCAAAGATTTTTCCAACCATATCTCCCATTCCCCCCAACATGATGAACTCCAATGGGTCCCTATCGCATCAAGGACTGAATCTAAACTCCTGTGTTTACTTTTAAAGGCCTTCACACCTTGACTCTTTTCTTAGCCTTATTATACATGATCCCTCTTCTTGTATTCTTTGGTTCATCCAAACTGCTCTTCTCTTTGTTCCTTACACATGACATCATCTGTCTCTGTGCTTTCCTTCTATCTCTAATGCTTGGAATGCACTCCCTCCTCACCTCCACTTCACAGAACCCTCCCTTCTTCCAAGACCTGGTGTAAGGGTCACCTTCTACACAATACCTTTTCTGACCTTCCCAAATGCTCTTACCCTCTCTCCTTATATTGTATTTATTCCCTTTAAACTTATTCTGTCTATACTTATACATGCATACATGTCTTGTCTCCCCTGTAGAATGTAAACCCTGAAAGCAGGAATTGCCTTATTCTTTTATTTGTAAACTCAGCACCTAGCACAATGCCTGGCACATAGTAGGTGCTTAATAAATGCTTATTGATTGGTTGATTGAAAAGTCACTAACTAAATTGATTGTTTTTGTTGAGAGGCAGAGGCACAATAGAAAGAGGGCTGAACTGGAGTGAGGTGGGTGGGAAGTTCTAATCTTATCTCTGTCATTTATTAGCTTGGATGATTTAGCCAAATAACTTGGCTAATTACTCTCTGTATCTCACTTCCTCCTCTGTAAAACAATGGAGTTAAAGGATGTGACCTCTCTCAAATCTCAGCTCTGATCCTTACTAGTCTTGTGATCTTAGGCCAGTCACTTTCATGTTTCAGACCCTCAATTTCTTCATCTCTGAAATGCGGACAATAATAACTATATGGCTCAACTCATAGGAGTATTGTCAGGAAAGCATGTAAAGGGTGTCATCATTTACATTCACTTTCAGCATAGCCTTTACTATGGCTACACAGTTTATTTTTTGTTCCATTAATTTTGATAACACCCTATAACCCTAGCTTAGAACACAGAACCTGATGGCTTTGTCCTCTTCCCTGGCTCTGATATACAACCAAACCAGCTCATATTCCTAGTCTCCCCCATGTGGTCATTCAAATTATAATTATATTTCTTATAGCTTAAATTTAAACTAAGGAAAAATGAAAATGGAAAAAAAACCCCCAAACTCTTATATACTTTGTATCTCATTAGCCATTGCTTGACATGACTGACTTTTCCCTCTATACTGGGAGCATAGTTAAAGAGTGCATTTCTCTCCTCTGTGCTTTGGTTACCCTGATCTCATTTCTTTGGAAAAGAAAAGAACAGTCATTTATGGGTTGTCAAACATCCTGATGGACATGGGATCTTCCCCACCTCCATTAGTGCAGAGCTCCTTCTTCTTGACCCCCTGACTCTAGACAATCAATAGTCACAATAAAAAAAAAACATTACAGCTCACTTTCCGTAAATGCAATCTCAGACTGAGGGAGATCTGGCTGTTCTTCATAAAACATCCATATCTGGCTGACATTCAGAAGAATGGTTGCACTTTAAAACAAAAACAAAAACAAAAACAAAACAAAACAAACCCCAAACATCCACAATGACCTTGGGCAACTCACACTTGGGCAACAGTTCTTGGGGTCTCAGTTTCTTTATCTGTAAAATAAGGGGATTAGCATAAATGATTTTAATTTTAGTATTTCATAATACTCTGACTAAAACCTTAAAGCTGCCCACAAATGATTATGAAAATAAATGAGAACACATATTTATACCGCATGGCAAGGTTTGCAAAGTGCTTTCCTGACAATAGCCATGGGGGCGACCATCTTCATTTTTCAGATGAGGATTCAGGTCAGGTCTTAGGGATTCAGTGACTAGCCCAAGATCACAAAGCTAATACGCATCAGAGTTGGGATCTGAGAGATGAAAATATTTTTGAAAATTCACTGAAGAAAAAACACAGAAGGGGACACAGAGAGAGAGCAATTTTGTGATTAACTTGGTAAGATATATATGTATATGTGTATAATATATACACATATACACTGCACATAATACTTCAGTTTCTTATATAATCCTTTTTTTTGCTCCTTTTATCTTGAAATGTTTGTGTTTGTTGAAGATTGTTAAGTTGACAGGAAAAAAATAAAGTTCAAATGAGACTAATGATAAAAAGCATTTATAAATCTTAAAGCATTCTATAAATTGTAGCTGTTGTTTTATAGTAGACTCTATGAATAAATCATTATCCCAAAATACTCTGAAGGAACTAAGGTGGGCTGTAAAAATGGATAAATAAGATTGAGGCAGAAAACTCACATCAGCAAGAATTGTGTCTTAATACTGACTAGTCTAGTGTTCTACATACTAGAGTCACGGCTTCTCTGTTCAGATTAATTGTGATTGCCTGGAAATAACCAAATAGTCTTGACCTAGCCGAGCTGGCCAAGGATTATACAGATGCAGTTGCCTCACCAGTTAAATGAGAAAATCAGCCTACATGATCTCCTAAGGTCCTTTCCAACTGGACTGTTTTGTGATTCTATGATAATGGCAGACTGGCCGCGCTCCTCCATGGTTTACAAAGTGATCTTGGTAAACAAGAGCTCATTTAATCTTCACAAGAGCCCTGTAAGGTAAGTACAACAGCTATTATGATCCCCAGAGGCAGCTAGGGAGCTCTGTGGATAGAGCATTGGGCTTGAAGTCAGGAAGAATTCAGCCTCAGATACTTCCTAGTTGTGTGAACTGGGTGAATCACTTAACCTCAGTTTGCCTCAGTTTCCTCAATTGTAAAGAGTACTTATGCCTCAGGGTTGCTGTGGGGACCAAATGAGATAATATTTACAAAGTGCCCAGTACATAATAGGCCCTTAATAAATGTTTGCTTCCCTTTCTCCCCATTTTACAGATGTTAGGGGCAGGATTCAAATGTAGGTCTGTCCTGACTCCACATCCAGGATTTGTTCTAGGAAACCAGACTCTCACACACACAAGGAAACACCTTTCGAAAAAGCTTCCTCTTGCTGAAACCACTATTCCACGTCTGACACAGAAGCTGTAGATGGCAGGTAACATAATGTTAAGCAATTAAGACTGAAACAGAGATGCCCTACAGGATTCCTTGTGTGTCCTAAACCTTAGCATGGAAGGACATTGACTTTAAGAGCAGAGAAAAGGCATAGACGCGGAGCCAGGCTTTTTCTCTTACGCAGGGGAGATTGAAATCTTTCAGTATGGGGAGGGTTAGGGATGGGGGATAAGGGAGTGGGCTGGAGAGGGCTGTTACCTGATCCTTATTTCCCATTCTGCCTGGAGGATTTGAGTTGCTGCTAGGCTGAGCTGCAGCTCTATTCTTAACCTCGGGCTCGCTCCCTGGGGAACAAAAAGAGAAGCCAATCAGGCAAGCCTTCCTTTTGTTCCTCCCCTCCGCCCCCAACCCCAGGCTGGGGCCCATGAAACAAAATAGCTGCCCCTTGTCAAGCACTTTTACAGAGCATCCTTCACCCCAGCCCTCAGGTGAGTTAAGTAGTGCATAAGCATCTCAATTCACAGGGGAGGAAACGCGGGCTCTGAGGAGTTACGTTACTCACCCCACGGTCACACTGTCTGGCGGTGGGTACTTTTCTTTTACTCTGGGGAAACGTGAACGTCTTTAATACACGCTTCCTCATGATGTATTGCTGCTGGTCTTCCCCTCCCTCTTTTCAGGTTCTAGAAGGTGCTCCTCTCTCCTCCCTTCTCTTCGGGAGTGCTGCCCTCTTCTCTGGACCTCCTCCTATTTCTCCCGTCCTTCTCAGGCTTCTTTCCCTTAAGCATGGTTATCCTCCGAGGTTTTGCATATTTCTCACTTAATCCTCACAACCACCTTGGGAAGAAGGCGCTATAATTATCTCCATTTTGCTGTTGAGGAAGCTGAGGCTGAGAGAGGTTACATGATCGAGAGAGATCACAAAGGTCAAAATGACTTGCAAACCATGGAGCGTTATGTAAATGTTAGCTATTATTATCGTTGTTGTTATATGACCTGCCCATGGTCACACAGGTAGTATCTCAGGCAGCATTTGAACTCAGGTTTTGGTGACTCCAAATCTACTACACCACGCCTCTTTCTCTCTATACTTTTTCTCTTGGTGGACCTTCCCATTAGTTAAATTATCATCTAGAAGCAGACCTTCAGATCTATAGTATATGACGCTAATCTCTCTCCAATGTACCAGGCTGCAGGCTATCTCTACCAAGAAGACCCATGGGCGTCTCAAACTCAGTATGTCCAAAAGGGAACTGGTCATCTTTCCCCATAAACTCATCACTCTTTCTGGTTTCTCTTTCTGTTGAGGGTGTCATCATCCTTCTGGTCACTTGACTCATCCTTATCTCTCTCCTGTCCCTCATCCCCTATATCCAATTAATTGCTGAGCCTTGTGCATTCTACCTCCAGGACAACTCTTTCATTTCGTCCTCTCTCCACTCACATGGCCTCCACCCTAATTCAGACTCATATCCCATCTCACCTAGACTGTTGTAATAGCTTCATAATTCGTGATCTCTCTGATTCAAGTTTCTTCCCTCTTTATCTTCCATATAGCTGCCAAATCAATACAAGGCAAGGTATGACCATATCATACCTGCATTCAAAAACCATAAGTGGTTCCCTGACGCCTCAAGGATAAAACGCCAAGTCCTCTGCCTGGCATTGAAGGATTCCACAATTTGGCTTGAGTCTACCTTTCTCGACCTATTTCATCTTACTCCTAATCAAGTACTCCAAGTTCCATCAAATGGACCAATTAGCTATTCATTACACTTGACATTTCATTTCCTGTGCCTTCAAATAGGATGAGCCCATGCCCAGAATGTACTCAGTTGTTACCTCTGCCTAAATATCCCTCCTTTTCTTCAAGGCTCACCTCAGTTAAAACTCTAAGTCCTTTCCTGAGGTCTCCATTTAGTCCTCTATTCCTCCCCAGATTGCTTTATTATTTAATTACCCATGCACATGAGCTCTCAAGTAGAATGTAAGCTCTGTGAAGAGTTTAGTTTTTTCTATCTACAATGCTTTGCCCCTCAAGCGCTTAATAAATGTTTATTGCACAGAATGATCATTGCTGCTAGAAGGATCAGTATCAAGAACTATTATAGTATATTTAAAAAAATAATACTAGGGGCAGAGCCAGGACAAGACAGTTATGTGTCCTAGGCAAGCTGCATCTACTGGGCTCAGAAGACTTTCACTACAACCCACATAACTGAAAGCAGAATTTATTGGTGTTAAAAGCATGGACTCAAATGGATCTGATGTGGGTATCCTCTGTGATGAAGGCAAATGTGACTCTTGGCCATGTGCTCCCACATGGTCACTACAGGTCCATCCAAAGTGCCGAGGACTTTCTTTGAGTTCTCCTGATCCCCTCAACACATAATCAATCCATCTTTCTTTTATTCTGCATCTCTTTGGATGCACCTGATACACAGCTGCTTCTTAAATAGGAGCACCTGAAGACCTAACCACTCACAGGAAATTTATCTTCAATTTGGACCTGTGCCGGATCTTTTCCATGACAATGGTCAACATCTTCATCAAGGCTAGGTCTATGTATTTTATACCTTGCTGGATATTAAAGACTGATGGGGTCTCAAACAAGGTTATCTATTATATCTTCCAAGGAGATTTGTATAATCTTGACATGGGCATGGGATATACCTAGTTGGAGGAAAGCTTTTAACATGATTTTTTGTTTTACTGAATTGAATACTTTTTTATAATCAACAAAAAAGCACCGTAGCACTTTGTATTTTATAAACCTTTCATTTACGTGTATCATGGTAAAGATGTGGACTACCAAAGAACATTGCTGATAAAGCCTGACTAATCTCTTCCAAAACCCTCATCAAGGAGGTCTATGTGTGAGCAGATTATTCTTGTAAATATTTTATGTACATGGGCAAGTAGATATGGGGTCAGTAATTGTTGGTCTTTTGCGGTAGTAACAGGGTCAAAAGTTTTTGCCACACTTTTTGGCATCTTTCCCTCATTTAGTCTCAGACACCTTGATGACTGATCCTTCAAAACCTTCAAAATTGTATTGCCTCTAGCATGGACCTTTCTTCTGTGTCCAGTTGCTTTTTCCATTTTTGTCCTCTGCAGTACCATTTCCATTTCTAGGACTGTGACAGTGTCTAGATGCAGTGGCTTTACTCTGTAAGTGGACAGACTACTGGGGATGAGCCTCCCCATATTTAGCGAGGCTGTTTCTTGGAATGCAAGGTGGTCTGTTGTCAGGACAACACTCAGGCTCTGATAATATAGCCCTCTGGTGACACAGCCCTTTGTGACAGGATGAGGCTCAGAAGTAGGTCTCCAGGGACTTTGTGGAAGAAAATACATGCATTTACAAAAAGTGATTTACAAAGTATCCCTTGCATACTCTCTTTCCTTTTTTTTTTCTTTTTAGGCAATTGGGGTTAAGTGACTTGCCCAGGGTCACACAGCTAGCAAGTGTCAAGTGTTTGGTGTAAGGTCGCATTTGAACTCAGGTCCTCCTGACTTCAGGGCCCGGGCTCTATCCACTGTGCCACCTAGCTGCCCCCCTTTTTTCCCCCTTTTTTCTTTTTTTCCTTACATACCTTCTATATGTGTTGCAGCTAACTGCCTATCTAACTGCCTGCTCTGTATCTTGACTGTGCTAAGAGAGCAGAGGGTAGTTCTTCAAAGATTACCAGATTACTGGGGTCTTTAATGAAAAACATTTTAAGAAAGAATAGGAAAAAGAATTTCAAAATTTGTATTCTTGTACCTATAGCATATATAGTACTGGACAGCCTTAAAAATTCATGGAGTAAGATTGTTGGTTTCGGATTACTATGATGACTTAATAGTCCAACATTAGCCAAATTTGTAAAGCTGGTGAAATCTGTATCTTTGTTGTTCTCCTGTCCTCCCCCTCCTCACTCTGTCCCACACCCTGCCTTCATAATACGGGCCCCAGTAGTGCTCCATCCTTTCCCTGTTATTCCTGGGTGGGGCCTCCTACCCTCCTCAAAACTCGCATAGAGTTTCATGTGTTCCCCCTCCCAGCAAGGCTATACTTTCAAAAGACAAAATCTTAAATTTGAAGGAATGGATCTTTAATGGCAGAATTTCAGTAGCGCAGCCATAAGTGAAAGAGAGATCTTTGCAAACTGGAGCCTTTTACCATCTCACCATGATGATGGCCACCTGGTACTCATAATAAAAATCAAAAGTTGCTCAGCACCCAAGAGTCCAAATAAATTCTCTCAAACACTTTTTGTTTGTTGAAGATTTTAAATCACAAGCTAGATTTGATGCTTTCAAATACAGTTCTTCAAGAATATTAGATTTGTTACAAATTATCAGTACCTTCAAATGACAGAAAGTTTTACACTTGAAAAATTAGGTGAAATTTTTCATGTGAGTTAAACAGCCCTTTCATCACTAAGTGGAATTACCCCAAGTCATGCAATAAATGGCTATTAAACTTTAAAAAATTATCCTAATTTGCCTGTTGAGATTTTAAGCCTGTTCTTAAGTCAAGGCATCTATGTGCTCTGGCCACACTACACTGACCTCACTTTTCCCCACTCAGGGCATTTATAAGGATATTCTCTCTAAGAATCACTTGTTCAATTTTACCTATGCATCTTATTTCCTTTCTCCTCCATTCTTTGTGCAAACTTCCCAGCAGATCAATAGGAACTATGCTAGAAGGAAGAGACCTTAAGTTCTAAAGGCAAATACAGCTGTCACTGATTTCTTATAGATTCCAACAGTAAATGACTTGGAAGGAGAAGGGCTTCAGCTGTGTGACTGAAACAGGGAGGAAAACCTTATTTTTGTCTTTATGTGGAACTGCCAGGTTGCAGGACAAAGGTCTTCTAATTAGAAATTGAGGGCAAAACAGAAGACATCTGGCTATGGCTAATGTTCACTCACTGGAGCTCTTGTGAGCAGGCCTTACTGACAGAACCACATAAGAATTAGTACCGTCAACATTTTACATAGAATTTGAGTATAAATTTGATACACAGTGCAACTGAACTGCTT